GAGTGCATGGCTGCCCCCTGCAGACCCTATGAGTGCCAGCAGGTTGCCAGCTCCCAGCATTTTGGCACTCACTCGGGCTTTGTTGTGTGACCCCCCAGGAGGGTGTTACATGTTCAGAAACATTCCAGTTGGGGTAAGCGTTGGAGGTCGGGGTGGAGAGAGGAGGGGGGTAATCCGACAAGTGTATGCCCCGTCTTTGAGGTACCGCAGTGAGGAGAGAGCAAGCAGAGCGGCGAGTCGCATCACCGGAGGCATCCTGACTGAATTTTGCCTGTCAGGGTTCGCCTAATGGGCTGACGTCAAGAGCATCTAATCACAGTGCCGCTGACACCGATAAATCCTCGCCTAATGTGCGCCCTGACAAGATCCCAGTCGGGGCAGACACCGCTGCAAGATCTCGCCTTCTGGAGTGCATCCTGCCGTTCGCCGCCCGGACGCACGCAACTCTGTCACATCCCTACCTACCCACGACAGGAAATAGATGGATGGGCCTATCCTCCTCACCTGCGTTTGGAGAGGCAGAACGGCGGCCATGGGCTTCTCATTTGGCCCCATAATTGCTGCCGAATATAGTTCTAACTTCTTTTGCTTGAAATCAGGCACCTTTCGTTCTAGGTTTCCTCTTTTTGTATCTTTTCCCCCTCCCTCTCTCAGTGTTTATAGACATTGTGTTGGTAATCCTTTTTTAATGTTGTGCACATATCATGTCTAATTTAGACTGCCTATAGGCACGAGTGCACAGATTTAATCACAACAGGAATGTGGTTACACCTCCACAATGGGAGTTCCCGAGGAGGAAGACATTTTTGGTCTTATTCTTATTTTATTAATTTCTTTTTAACGAGCCGTGCAGTTCCTCTGACCCAAGCAGCAACAGTAGCAGCAGCGTGTGCCTATAGACGGCTCCTGATATATCAGCGTCCCAGAAGGGGAGGCGGTGCTGGGGAGGCGGTGGCAGCTAGCAGGTGTAGTGGTCTTAGCGGGACTAGGCAGCCTAGTGGAGTTAGCAGGGTTAGCAAGATTAGCAGGTCCAGCAGGGACAGCCAGCCTGATGGGGCTTGTTGGCCTGGCAGGGTGAGTAGGCCTAGTGGGGCTAGTTGGCTGAGCGCTGTTAGCGCAGCCAGCTGGCCTAGCAGGATTATCTGGCCCAGTAGGCTTTGTTGGCCTGCCAGGGCTAGTCAGCCTAGCAGGGTTAGCGAAGCTAGCTGGACTAGCAGGATTAGCGGATCTAGCTGGCTTATCAGGGTTATTTATCCTGGCAGGGTTAGTGGGCCTAGTGGGGCTAGCTAGCCTAGCGAGGTTAGCTAGCCTAGCAGGATTGTTTGGCCTGACAGGGTTAGCACGAGCTAGTCAGCCTAGCTGCCGTAGCTCGATTTCTCAGTGCCATACCCACCCCTCGAGGTTTCAGCTCCCAGATGGGCTCTTGGAGAAACCAGTGTGCCGTCGGCGCTCTCCTGCCAGTGGGGGGAGCTGTTCGCTCACCGGCACGAGCCTTTTGACATGGTGGCAGCATTTTCGCACCTCGGCTGCTGGCGGCTCATGTGCGTCTGTGGTGCTTGTGACCAGTGCTCCCCCGGGGTCCCTCGGGTGCCACAAGCCTCTATGCAAAGTGCCCTCATACTGATGCAAGCGCAGGCAAATCACACGCATTCATTAAAGCAGCTCATGCATGCCAATCTGCCCTTCGGAGCTGTTTACCCACCACTGCCGTCACCCCCGGGGTGGGCTGGCCGTACCCACCGCCCGCTGCCTGCGGGCTGCTTGGTAATGGTGCTTGGTAATGGTTCACATCCTCTTTGCCTTTATTTACCATTGGCAGCCCCGTTCTGTGTTCGATGAGTCCGATTTTCTAGGCTTACTCTGGACTCTCATGGGCACTGAACTACCGTGGGACTCCTGGATATTGAGGAAAATGGGAGTTTTTTCTTCATGGATTCTGAAGCTTTATTATCATTTGTAGAAGTACAAGGATGATGTTTACCTCTGTGCAGACTTAAACAACATATAACAATGAAGAAAAATTATGTAAAAATGATAGAACAGTGAACAATAACATGCATACAATGTACATATAATATGTGCAATATATTGAGGAAGAAATATACTTTAAGCGGTTTATACACCAAGAATGTGCAAAACTGGGTTAAACTTTTGCAGTAAAAAATTCTATAGTGTGACTGGACTAAACCTAGGAAAGACACTTGTAGTGTAACAGTGTCTTCAATTGATTCTGCTTAAATTCTGCTCATGACTGCACTTGAATACTATTGTAATTTGTCAGAAATTCCATGAAATGTGACAGTGGTATCTGAATGAAAATTCAAAAGTGTAATATTTGAAGAGGTTACGGGGGTATTATTATAGCAGAAACACAAAGCATTTGGGAGTGATTTGATTGACTGGTTAAGTGGATGTCTCTGGAAACTGCGCTTAGTCGCCGTTAAACATCTATACTGCTTTGACAGCCACCACCCCCCCCTTCCTGTGTATAATTATAACTGCAGCTTGGTGTTTTAATGAGTCTTGTAACAACAGACAAAACTTCCATGTAATTATAAACACTGTTGGAAAATGTCACTTGTGTTGTTAGATTGATCAAGTAACACTGGCCTGCGTCTGTATGGTAGACAGATAGATGCTAAAACGCTGAAAAGTCTCTGGATCTGAAAACAATGACCCAGTTCTTCTGATTGAAGATCCTTCAACGGTAACTGTATGTAGAGGATGCAGATAGAATGCTAATGTTTCTATCGCTCTGGAAGTGCCACGTGCCTTAATTTGCTAATATGCAACATGTTTAATTGTTTACTTCCACAGAAGTGCACGCTTTCGTTCTGTGTTACGCTTCTTGGAAGGAAAACATCACCATGTCTGGTCATCTGGTGCACTTAATGAATATGTATGACTCTTCAGTTATGGCTGGAGGTCCAGCTCCCACTTGACAGTGAGCAGATTTAATTCCGGGGCGCGTCTTTATGTTATATAAACAAAAACAACTTTCCGTCTCAGATTATCGGTGTCTGCTTACTGCCGCACTTAGTGCTGAGATTCGATAATTACTTTGTCGCCGTGATTGAAACTTGGCCGCAGTTTGAAGGCAAAAAATGGGTTAGCGATCAAAATACCCGCCTGAAATTGTCTGCTTTTAAACAGTTTTAAGAGCTGAAATGGCTGCCAAAGTCAGCCTGTTATCTGTCGCGTTTCTTGCTTAGAGCAGCAGCTGCAGCGGGGAAGAATGCTCGGGCCGCCGTGGACAGCTCTGCTGACGTGCGGGAAATTAGCAGATGCGCGCGTGTTTTGGCCCGGGAAACGAGAAGCTGGTGGACAGCCGTTCGGATCTGTTTTGAAATTAGGAGAATCCCCCTCCCTGAGTTTGTGCAGCACTGCCGTCACACGGATGCGGCATAACCTCTGTCAGCACGGAGTGCAGTGCGAGGGGGATGCCCAGGGGAAAGCATGGCGTCACCGCTAAGACCATGTAGCTAACATAAGCTAAAGCTTAATTTAAGAAGGAACAGGAACATGGGCCTGGACTCTTAGATAACCGTGTACCACGGCTCGCTCTACCTTTTTAGGAGCCCTGGGCAAAGCTTACGTGGGTGGCCCCCCTACCAAGAAAATTGACAATCATTACACTTTCTCCACAACGCAGGTAATTCAGGGGCCCTAGGCAGATGCCTACTCTGCCTACAGCTAGAACCAGCTCTGCCATGTAGCATAAGTTAAAAAGCAAAATAGCCATCCATGTATAATTTTCCTAGGGGCTAATAACATGTAGCCAATGTAAGCTAAAGCTTAATTTAAAAAGGAATATAAATGGATCCCTAGATAACCATATAGCACAAGCTAAAAAGCTCAATAGCCATCCCAACATCATTCTCATAGGGATGCCGCTAATAGCATGCAGTTAAGGTAAGCTAAAGCTTAATAAAATTAGGAATATAACTGGACCCCCTTGATAACCATGTAGCACAAGCTAAAAAGCTAAATAGCTGTTTATCAGGCAGTTTATATTCATTGCTCCTTATGTCCCCTCATTATTATCCTGTAGCACATTCTCACGCGCAAGTGATCCTTTGCATTGTGGTAATATGACCAGATGAAATGTAATTACAGACGTGCAGCCGTTCGCTGGTAAATATAGGTGTTGGGATGCTGTGTAGGCGCTCCGACTCCGTGTAACATCTGCAGCCCACTCACCAGGCGACACTGAGTAATGATCCCACAATCTGATGCTATTGCTTTGACTTAATTTAGTTAAGTAGCACTCAGGATCTTTTGACGCTAGCAAGCTAAAATGATCGGGTGAATTATGTGTGTCTTGTGGGTCCCCTGTTGCTTATCTAAGGTGTTTTCCCCGTCAATATACTTCCACTATCAAAATGCACGATGCGATTTAGTTGCAAGGATGTGTTTTTTGTTCTTGTAACTATGCTGATGCCCCGCATGTCCTCTCTTTCACCTCTGTTGTCCTGTCAGCTTCTCTGTAATTATGTGAAGTACAGCCGTGACTATGGGTGTACTGTACCTACCTAAATGGAGATGGACAAATTCAATCAATCATTAGTGATTTAATGGAATCGTCCTGGAACCCCCCCCCCCCCCCCCATCTCTTACCGTTGCCATACCAGGGATCCCCTCCCCAAGACCTCGGACACGGTTTGAATTTTGGTGCTTACCCTACATACCCAAATGCCCATACATTGAGCACAGTTTGAGTACCATTGATCAAGGCAGATTGATGGGCATTTTAGCATTTTGTCTGCTCTTGGCAGTTCTCTTTACCACGACAACAGATTGCATTGACTCCCTGTGGTGTGGCATTAATTTGACAATATGGAGGCAGTGGAGCCCCCTATTGTTCACTTTGTCGGTCTTAGCAGCTTGGCTGGCTGAGCTGTGTCTCTCTCCTCTGTTCCTCTTCTTCTCTGGTGAATGCTTTTAACTCTGTCTTTCTTCTCTCACCCCCCTCCCCTTTCCCTTTCCTTTTGCTGGTGAAGGAGATGCGCAGAACATCCCAGGTATGAAAATCTCTCGGTTTCCGTTAGAACTATTTTTGTTACTGGTTTTCCGAAGCTTTCTTTCCCCTCAGGTCTCAAGCCTCTCTTTCTGGTCTCTCTTCCCACCTCACAGGCCATCACAAGTTTATACCCTTCTGCTTAACTTTCTGGTCGTTTTTCCTACTCACAATGTCAGGTCTTTGATGATCTTGCTCTTTCTGGTCTTTCCCCAACTCACAGTATAAGGTCTTTCTTCTGCTTCCCCTCATCTGGTCTTTTGCCCCACCTTGCACACCATCTTAGGTCTTAACTACTCTGCCCCACATTCCGGTCTTTGTCCACATATCACATCTCAGCCCTTTACTCTGCTAACTCACTTCCTAGTCCTTTGTCTCCCCTGTCATCTAAGATCTTATTCACTCTTTGGTATTGGCTCCACCTTGCATGCCATCTCAGATTTTATTCACTTCTTGGTCTAGGCTATAACTTGCATGCCATTTCAGGTCTTGCTCACTTCTTGGTCTTGGCCACACCTTGCATGCCATTTCAGGTCTTGCTCACTTCTTGGTCTTGGCCACACCTTGCATGCCATTTCAGGTCTTGTTCACTT